AGTCTCTCTCTGTTGTGTTACTGTTGGTCTTATCTTTATTGTTTTTTTTTCCTTTTGTGGGTTTGTTTTTTTCTTTTGTCTATTGTGTGTTTGTGCAGTCCGTCCTCTCTGCAGGTCTTCATCGTGGAGACGAGGACGTGGCTCAGATCTGGTTTGGCAGCATGTTGAAGGTGCTCTATGTCGTCCTGGATCATATTCTTCACATACTGTAGGTTTATAACTTTGTCATTCTGAATGTCTGTGCTGTAAGTCTGCTGTGTTGCTCTGTTCTGTACAAACATCTGTTACAAGTCTGTGTGTCCTGGAAGATACTGGAAGATACATCCCTCCTCAGCTGCCTGTCCTGGTCTTTCTTTTTTTTCTTGGTACAGAATCTGTTCGATGGTGATTTTAATTTGATTTAGGTTTTTTCAGTTTTCTGCATTTTCTGGGACGTAAACTGATAAAAACTATTCTTGGCATTATTTCTGAAAGCATCCTCACTCTGCAGCCTTTTTATGATGCATCTAAATTCTTTGTATATTACTACTGTATATCCCATGTCTTGTCTGGTGCTACGGTGGCCTCAGAGGGGAAACTCAAATCAAAGAATCAATGGATTTTGCTCCACGGTGTTATGAAGATTATTTTGGCAGAAACAATTCAAGCCACTGCTGTTCAGTGTGACAAATACACAACTTCATATTTCATCTTCACACCAACACAGGCGTTTTAAATTTAGTGTCATCAACACATTGTGTTCACACATATGGTATTAATAGTCTGAGGTTTTGATGACAACCACCTCCAGTTTAGAACAAACTGGTGAAGCAGACAGATAAAGCTGTTACACTATCAGCAACAAGTTAACACAAACAACATATAAAAGAATGTATGGATATATTTTTTCACTGTGTTCGACAATTCAAGGGATGTACACGGTCACATAAAAACTACAGTTCCTATTAACATGACACAGTTGTGTAGTTGGAGACACAGTCATGTTGACTGGCTCATGAGGCCACATTGTGCATTTGACAAAGTCAGTTCATTAAAGTTACAAAATGACATTTGAAGCCATTTACTGTATGTAGTACGTCAATGTTTTATAAAAGGCCACTTTACTGAATTTCCACCTGAGCCCTATTATTCCAGTATAAGGAGGGTGTATAACAATGTGACATTAAAAATCCCACTGTGCACTTTGTCTACATTCCCTGTTGCCTCTCTGCTGTGAGCTGATGCCATAAAACAGGAGACATTTGGTTTGCACTACAGGCTGTGTCCTCATTTCTAGCTACCTCAGAAATGTTGAGGTCATTCAGTTTCACTAAAGATATAAATAACCTGTAGCATCTGCATGCCTGCATTGCTGACTGCTTACAAGAGCAGTCACAAAGTCAGCCTGTATTGTCAAGTTTCCTACTTTCACTACAGATTCATCTTGAAAAGATGTAGACTAACATGACTGTATTCATCTGTAGGTCTGTCTGAACCTACAGAAATGTAGAAACACTTTTAAAATAGCTTTAATATATATTCAGTAAATATATATACACAGTATAATCCATCTGCAGTGAGTTCACAGCAACATATTCCATCAGCACCACCTACAGGTCAGTAACAATCAACACCTGCTCTAATCAAACATGATATCGTTAGCATATATGCTAGTATCAGGATCTG